AAAAAAAAAAAAAAACCCACACGTCTTACAACGGTTACGTTTATCACGCCAAAAACCAAAACCGCTTGGGAGAGGAAGGGTTTAATAGCTTGCTATAAAATTAGTGACCACTGACCATCCTCTCTCACCCACAAACTTTTGTCAACTTTATACGCTCTTTTTTCACCCTTGGTCGGATCTCCATTATTCACATTGATTCACATTCAAAATATTTCCTTATTTATTTTGGGAGTTGTTCAGCAGTTTTATTGGATTTTTCTGCAAATCCCTTATTCTCAATAAGAAATCTTGAAAATAATGAGGGAAATTTGGGTTTTGGTCTTTTTATTTTGGGGTGGTGAGTTTATTGAAGGGCTTGGGGTGAACTGGGGTACAATGGCAACCCACAAGTTGCCTCCCAAAGTTGTGGTGCAGATGCTGAAAGATAATGGAATAAAGAAGGTGAAACTGTTCGATGCAGATCAGTCGACCATGAGTGCTTTGGCTGGCACTGACATTGAAGTCATGGTTGCAATACCGAATGACCAGCTAGCTGTCATGGGAAGTTTCGACCGAGCCAAGGAGTGGGTCAGGCGCAATGTCACCAGATACAATTTCAATGGCGGTGTCAATATCAAGTAACCCTTTTTCTTTTTTATGCTTTTTCTGTTTTTCCTTGTGTTGGGGAAGTGCTTTATTTGTAAGCAAATTAATTAGAAATTCTAATACAATCTTCTTTTGTTGAAGATAGAAGCAGCATTATTGCACCATAGGTGGATCTGTGCAGTGTTTACTGTTCATCCTTTGTTTTCCAATTACAATAATTTTTGATAAGTTTAAGTAGAAGAATTTATGGAAGTTTTTATTAATTTTTTCCGTCGGTTGGCTAACAGTACAAGGAATTAGATAAGATTATTTGATCCATGTGCTACATCAAACCATCGCCATTTCAACCTGAGCAGTTCCGATTTATTTTTATTGCCTCCACAGAGAGATGAAAAAGTTGAGATAAATTTGAAATTTATCTTGCCTTGTCTGAGGAATTGCAGAATGATTCTATACTCGTTACTGAGATATTAGGTTGCTACTTTTCTTTAACGTGAATAAAAAAATTTCTGTAGCCTTAGTTGCTCTTTGGATTAGAAAATTTACAAATTGGGGGTGTTGATCAAGCTTCAGAAGTCCCGTTTTCCTTCCAGGAAATGCAGAACTGTGTGAGGAATAAACTCTGCTTAAGAAGAGTTAACATCGTTGCCTCTTGAAGAGAGGGCATTTATGTATCAATTTCTTGTGGAATTATGCATTTGACAATTGAATGTTCATCTTGATATTAAATGTACCTTGACAATTTGGTTATATTTCTTGATGTTAAATGTTAGGGTCATGACGGTGTTCTTGGTACTTTGCCGTTGTGCAGATATGTGGCAGTTGGTAATGAGCCTTTTCTCACTTCCTACAACAACTCATTCTTGAACACAACCTTCCCAGCTCTTCAGAACATTCAGAATGCCTTGAATGACGCAGGGGTAGGGGATTCCATAAAAGCAACTGTGCCTTTAAATGCTGATGTCTATGGTTCCCCACCAGACAATCCTATCCCGTCTGCTGGAACGTTCCGGACTGATATCCTTGGACAAATGACCCAGATTGTTGAATTTCTTAACAAGAATAGTGCACCCTTCACTGTAAATATTTACCCTTTCTTGAGTCTTTATGCCAACGAGAACTTCCCTGTTGATTATGCCTTTTTTGATGGGGTGAGTAATCCTATTGTTGACAATGGAATTCCGTACACTAATGTCTTCGATGCCAACTTCGACACCTTGGGGGCATCACTCAAAGCTGTTGGGTATGGAAACATGACCATTATTGTTGGGGAGGTGGGATGGCCGACAGATGGGGACAGGAATGCCAATGTAAATTTTGCTTTGAGGTTCTATAGAGGGCTTTTACCTAGACTTGCAGCCAATAAAGGAACTCCTGTTCGGCCTGGGTATATAGAAGTTTATTTGTTTGGACTTATTGATGAGGATGCCAAGAGTATAGCTCCTGGTAATTTTGAACGCCACTGGGGCATCTTCAGATATGATGGGCAACCCAAGTTCCCTATGGATCTGTCAGGTCAGCTACAAGACCAGTATCTTGTGGGTGCGCAAAATGTGCAATATCTTCCTCAGAAATGGTGTGTGCTAAGACCAGATGCCAAGGATATAAGCAAACTAGCAGAAAACATCAATTATGCTTGTACCTTTTCAGACTGCACGGCACTTGGGTACGGTTCTTCCTGCAATGGATTGGATCCCAATGGGAATGCAACATATGCATTTAATATGTATTTTCAGGTCCAGAATCAGAAAGATTTGAGCTGTAATTTTCAGGGTCTCGCCATGGTGACTGATCAGAATGTATCTCAGGGGAACTGCAACTTTACAATTCAGATTGCTACTTCTTATTCTTCAAACTTGTCACCTGTGGCTCTGGTATTTGTAATATCATTCATTATTTTATTGCTATAAACATTTTTGTCTCATACTACTATGGATATTTATTTGAGTTAACTATCTGTGATTGTGACTGTTGGTTCATATACCCCCTCATATCTCCTGATACTTGAATAATACCTTTAGCTGCTTACTTTATCGTCGCTACAATCTAATTAATTGTTATTCATCTTTCTTCTTGTTGTATTATTCCAACTTTCTTAACCAGACTTTAGATTGAAGGTGTTCTGAAGTCAGCAGATGTCATATATAGCATAAATGGAAGACTAGCGGTTGCTTACTTCTCATTAGTTGTTAATAGAAGAGTCAGAACTATTGCCATTTTGCAAATAAGAACAATTTTATGTTCTACAGTTGCATTTAATTTAACGTAGTAGTAGAGAATGTACAAATCACGCCCCTTAATCTGATGTCACGGTAGTGCATATGGCTTTGAGAGGTATTGCCGCCATTCTTCTGGGGTTCCCTTTCGCATTTTCAGCATCTTTACAGCAGTGTTCGTCAAGGGTACGGCAAGTATATCGTAGTCCTTGGGGGCCTGTACAAAAGTGAAATTGTCAAAGTACTGAAGCTTCCACCACAAAGAAGTCGAGAGTACATTATTGATACCTTGGGGACCTTCATCAGAGTCATATTTGCTTCCTCCAAGGTTTTCTGACCTTTTCTAGAATTGCATCTGGCACATGCGGTAACCTGTTTCAAAATAAAATTTCAAAGAATGCGCTCTAAATAGGCAAAGTTTTAAAAGAGAGAAAATAATCAACAGACTATATTCGTCAATATGCTACATATTAGAGTTCAGGAAAATATTAGATCAAACATAAAACTCTGTGGCAGATGGCAGTTTGAGGAAGAGCTTTTCATTTAGCAATCTCTTTTCTCCTGTCAGTAGCACCTGGTTTGTACGAAACTATACGTTCAAAAATATTTGGATTTGCCATATTCTTTTTCTTTAGTTTATTTAGATTATTGGAACTTCTTTATATTACAAAATTAGGTGATATTGTCATTACCAGATTCTCCCATGTCCACTGTCCCCCTAGTGAGATCGGCAGAACATGATCTACCGTCAAGTTCTCGCCAGAAGAACAATACCTGTGAAGCATGGTAATATTATAATGTTAATGGTAGGATACAATGAAGCTAATATAATACGAGAATTTAAGGTTGTAACTGCTGACCATATTTGTCAATGAAAATTGTATCAAACTAAAAAGAGAACAGGAAGAAAGAAAAGACAAAATTGGCTGCTGATATTACAAGGACAATATGACCGCATGTCTTGAGAAATTTATGCATATTGTACATGATTTTAGACAAGGGAAAAATTGCTGGAGGGGCAATTGCCTAATGAAAAAGAATCCTGGACGCATCTCAATTTTTCTTACTGCTCTGTCAGAGAGCCTTTTGTTTTGCAATAATTCAAATTTACACAGACTAGTAGATTGAAAACCACGAGTACAGAGGTCACCTGTCTCCAGGAAAATGTACACACAGAAGTTTAGGCTATACATACTAAAAAATTTAAAGAAGAGAGGAATAGAAAGCAAGGACAACTTTTTAGTAGCAGTGGGGAAAAAAAAAAAGAGGAGCTTAAGGCACCTAAACCTCAGACAAACTCTTGGTTTTGCTTGCTAAAAGTTTGATTGTTGCAAATAGCATATAAAAGACCTCTTGAATTAAATCTGCCACAACATATTAACTCTCTCCATCGTTATGGAGCTAGTAACCTCAAACAGTGAAGAATCCGCAGGATCATCTATAGACTTGACAGACCATAAACTGTAACATCCAACACAGCATACTAAAGTCAGAAAAAAAATTATATTCTTAGAAACATCTGATGTCTGTTAACTGTCTTTCAAATAAGCAGCAGTTTATCTGAACAATCAATGAATGAGACAAGAAGTGGATATCTTTGAATGAAAGAGTCTAGATCCACTTTAATCATCTGCTAGAAATAAGTGGATGGAAATAGATGAATTATCACCAAGTAATTGCCACGATGTTGTGCGGCTTGGAGGATGGCACAATGGAGAAATTGTCCACAACTAAAGCGATCCTTGAATAGGACGCTTCCTAATCCTTTTCATCGATGTGTCTCCCACCAATTAAGTTGTAGGATTAAAGCGTTTTGACTAGCTTCCAGTACAAAGGACAAACAAAGATTGCAAAATTCAGAGACACCAGGAGTAAACATTCATGTAATGAAATAAGCAATTATGATATTGCCAACATATCATTTAGTCCACACTTGAAGAACTCTCCTCATGCTCCTTGAAACCTTGAAACTCCGGTATCAGAATTTTAGCGACTTAGAATGTCTAAATGAAATAGCAATAAGATTCTCAATTTTTCTCCACAAGCTCCATTTTAACAGAAAGCTGCTTCACTAAACATGCATATCACATTGCAAATGCAGAAAATAAGCCCATAAAGGTGCTTTTTATGGCTAATTGATGGAGAACTTACTGACACTTGAAATTGTCACGAAAAAAAATATTTTTCCGGCTAAGGCTTCTTTTGACTTTCCTCCTTTTGACAACTTGTAATAAATGAGGAATCTGAGTAGTAGACATGACATAACCATTAGTAAAAGTAAAACCTGTAGTAATTTGAACATAGACTAGGATTAAAAAGCAAATTGGAACTGGAAATGGTAACTATACATAAAACTAACTCTTTAAACTGACGCTCCTTGATAGTATCATACCCTTAAGACAGCAGGTATGTAGAAAGAGCCACCAGGAGAGTTAACAGTTTGGTCGTAATATTCTAAAACATCAGCCTGGAAGTTACAGGTAGGGGTGGGATCGTTAGGGATATGATTCATGTCTAAAAATCAGAACCAACAATGAAGTGGGGGCATTGTAATTGATAACAAGCACAAGACGATATCAAAAAATAGAAAGCCACATAGTTCAATAAGCAAAGACAACTCCATCTAATTTTAATTATCTATAATCTGTTCAATAATATCATAACAGGCACCGGATCTTGGATTAACAGCAATTTCTTTGGCACGAAGAAATGCTCTAAGGTAACTGAACTAGACAACAAGTGACCCACAAGAATCTGACCTTATCCAGGAACTCCAAACAAATTGCGCGCTTCCAGCAGACAACGTTAACAGGCCTGGCACGACAGACAAGCCATCTATATAATTTTATGACTTCAAAGGAATCACAAGAAGTATCCACCAATTCGCTATACAATGTCAACCAATTAAACCAATACAAATACTTCCTACTAACAAAAATAATCATGTGAAGAATTACGGCATTCGTACTTCATTCTTCAATCAAGTAGGGCAATAAAATAATTCCTATGGTCCACAGAAATCAAGGAATCACACAGAACTCAAGCACTATTCAGAGAAAGGAACAAGCTGGAGTAATTGAATAGCCAAACGCAAGGAAAAAGTATCGTGGCAGAGGACAAAAAAAGAACCTGTAATGCAAGACTGTTCTGCCATTCACTTTTTTGCTATTTAATCGTAGCACAGTTGAACACACCATAAAATGCATAACAAGAAGTGCTAAAATTGCAACAGTAGATCGGGGAGTGGACGTGATGGAAAGATAATGGTACAATCTTATCCCTTCCAGTTTTCCACTCATTGTACGAAAGCTAATCTAGATAACTTTGTGTAGAACAAGTTCCATTCTGCCTTGATGCCATTTGTTTTTCAGCCAGTTTTGATTGATGGACATAGCATAAACTCTTGCTCGTTGATTAGGAATAAGTTGTTGTCTACAGTGTATAGATCATGTTGGTTCACAACTTAATTTGGACAAGTAAATGATGCATGTCAATTGGCCTGCTTCTTACTTCAGTGTTGAATCTTCCCAATTGTTCTCCAATAACAACTACACAGGTGGATAGGTACTTGACTATGACAGGTATCAAACTGAATCTAGGGAAAATATATAAGAGAATACCCAGTAGGTGTGTCTTCCCAATCCCATGATGGCAGTTGTCCACTAAGGGATCTTACATATCCCCCATGCAATGCCTCTAAGCCCCCCATCTTGCCAAAACCCTAGTTGCCCTAGTGCCTACCCAGTCTAATATCTACGTATAGCCCTAACAGGAAAATTCTTGTCAGCTGCTTTATTGCCTAGGCAACGTGCATATTACATCTAAATAGTCGCAAAATGGTCATTTCAGTTGAAGGAGAAGTGATAACAAAGGGGATGCGAGTTCTTTTACTATCCCTGGAAATCCATCCAAAGAAGAAGAAATTATTTAGGCAGATGATGAAGAATCCCTAGCGATTTGAAATAGTTTTGCTCAGCAAGAAGAAGAAAATGATGGGGCTCGAAAGAATATCTTTCATGCTATTGCACTTACCATGGCAAGATATGTGATGTAATAATTGATGGGAGCAACTTTGAAAACATGGTATCAACTCAAATGATAGGTTAGTTGCACTTGAAAACGGAGAAGCATCTTCATTTTTACAAGCTCTTATGGCATTGGAACAACAATGATATAAGTTATATCATTTTTGATTGAAAAGAAATACGAAGATGATGACTTATCAAATGGTATGAGCAAATTCAAATTGCTAATATCTCTCAAGAACCTCATAAACCACCTTATCCTCAATAGAAATATGACAAAAATACTCATGACTTTTGAGAGAATTAAGATAGCTAATAACCACTTCCTAGTTATGGTGTCTCGAATACCTTCATGATTCACAACACCTCTTTTCATCATGGCAAAAACATCAGCTTGGACTCAAGGACAATTTTCATGCGACAATAAACATTAAGATCGTATGAGAAGGAGAAAGGGTGGAGAAAAAGAAAAGAGAAAGGGGAGAAGACACTGATTTACCCAGGAGGCTCCTCACTAACATTGAAAAAACTGGAGTCAAAGTTGTTGGAGTGAGCTGTAAAAACTATTTTTAGGACCCAAAATCATTGGTAATTATATCATTTCAAGGGAGTAGAATCGGTCAATTAGTTGTAGAACCAATCAGCTAGCTAAAAATCTGTATAATCCAAAATTAGGAGCATTCTCTTCCCCTATAAATCTGTACACTTCATATTGGAGAAATCATAATGAAAAATACCTTACTTGACATGGTATCAGAGCATGTACACAATCCATGACCTCCTTCCCTAACCATCCTCTAGCCTTGTTCGTATGAACATTTTCACAAACAGATGGAGGACCCCAACATCTTCACTGACCTTAGCCAAACCCCACCTAATACTGATATGGCACGAACCTCGCCACCAAAATTTCTGAAGCTTTAATCGAAACACATATATCATCCCCACCAATTGAAAATTTACCCCAGATTAGCATCAAATTGAACGATGCAAATTATGGCCCATGGTCACAGGTTATGGAAATGTATATTTCTAGAAAAGATAAACTATGTTACATTAATGGAGATGCTTCTCCACCCCTACCGACCGACCCATCCTACCAGACGTGGCGAACTGAGAACGCCATTGTTAAAGGGATGGATTATCAACTCTTTGGACCTTGCTCTTGTCGGCAATTTCATTTGTTTTTCCACTGCTAAGGAAGTCTAGGATGCAATTGCCACTACCTATTTTGATGGAAATGACAAATCCCAAGTTTATGATCTCCTACATAGGGTGACTCGCCTGAGACAGGCAGGCAACTGCTTAGAGAAATACTACACTGAATTGCAGGGGTCTTGGCACAAAATTGACTTCCATCGGCCAAATCCGATGAAGCATGCTGCCAATTCAACAACTTGATCTAAGAAGAATGAGTTTATATGATGGACTCGACGACCAACTCGATAGCGTTTGGAGTGGAGTTTTACAGATAGAGCTCCTACCGTTGAGCAAGCTTACGGCCACGTTCGATGAGAGGCTCTACGACAAGCAATCATGGAATCTACCGACTCCGATGGTTCTCTTAGAGCAATTCTGACCACTAAAGGATTGACGCTTAGGCCAAGCACTGGAATGGGCTTCTCAAAAGGGACTTCAAATAAAAATGGGCCAAAAAGGTCAAAAGGTGTGGATGAAGAAATTAAATGTCCTTATTGTGGAAATACCAAGCATACACGTGGAAATTGTTTTAAACTAAATGGTTATCCCGATTAGTGGCATGAGTTGCAAGAAAAGAAGAACGAGGATGGGACTGGCAATGATAGGCGAACAGGCAAGATAGTCGTGGTAACAACTAACAATAAACTTTCCTTGATTTCCCAAATTGGGTCCTCTCAGGATACGGATCTCTTGCCAAAATTAGGTAATTTTGGTTCAGTGTTTATCACATCGTCCTGTGACAAGGATAATAATTTCTGGTTGCTTGACTCCGGGACAACTGACCATATGACATATAATGAAAGAGATTTTACCCAGAAGTCTCTGCCTCAACGCACCAGTATTGCAAATGCTAATGGACTTATTTCACCAGTCACCGAAGCTGGCTTTGTATCCCTGTCTCCTTCCTTACATTTATCTAATACTCTACTTGTACCATCACTTTCACATAAATCATTATCTATAAGTCAAGTAACTACATAATTAAATTGTGTGGTACTTATTTATCCTACCTTCTGTCTTCTTCAGGATATTCTCACCAAGGAGATACTTGGGTGTGGCACTAAGAGAGGGGGTTATGTTACATGGAGGAGTGTGGGCCACACTCATTACGTTCAGAGTAACGGAAAGGAACGCCAGATCTAGATGTGGCATCGTCGTTTTGGACATCCATCATTCGTTATTTAAAGCATTTATTACCTAGTCTTTTCACAAATATGGAAATTTCTGACTTAAAATGTAATACCTACATTTTGGCCAAAAGTCACCGTACTTCGTATTTGTCAAGCATGAATAAATGTAATACCCTTTTTCCTTAGTACACTCTGATGTTTGGGGCCCTTCACCTATTGCTATGATATCTGGAGTTCACTGGTCTGTTATCTTTATTGACGATTGCACTCGCATGACCTGGCTTTATTTATTAAAAAATAAGGATGAAGTGTTCAAAGTATTTCAATCATTTCATGCTATGATTCAAACTCGGTTCTCTGCCAAACTCAGAGCCCTTCACTCGTAATGGTGGTGAATTTATTAACCAAGACTTTCGCACCTACTTTGAGCGACATGGCCTCATTAATGAGACATCTTGCCCTCGAACACCTCAACAAAATGGCATTGCTGAAAGGAAAAATATCATATTCTTGAAACTGCAAGAGCTATCCTTCATTTCGCCTATGTTCCAAATTGCTACTAGCCTGATGCAGTGTCCACAACCGTACACTTACTGAATCGGATGCCTTCTAAGGTTTTAAATTTTAAGACTCCACTTCAGGCCTTATCATCCCATGTTACTCTATCCACAAGCCTCATGCTCCCTCCTCGAGTGTTTGGTTGTGTGGCCTATGTACACCTCCACAAAAATCAACAAACAAAACTTGACCCATGTGCTCATCGATGCTCTTCGTGGGATAATCTATACATGAGCAAGGCTATCGATGCTATGATCCAGCCACCAAACGTACCTATGTGACTATTGATGTTACCTTTTCAGAGTCTGACACATTCTTTTCCCCACCACCCAATTCTCCTCTTCAGGAGAAGACAAGAGATGAAGAGGTAAATTGGTTACAGTTTGAATGGTTAAATAATGTCGAAACATAAACAACTTCGGTAGAGGCTAACTTAGGGAATAATATAGAAGCTAATAACTCAGGGAATAATACAATTGTAGAGATTGCACCAAGCTCCATTGAACTAGAACCAGAACTCCCTTCTTGGGTATCCATAGACCCATCCCCTGAGAATATCTCTAAAGTAAGCCCTCCCTCACATATAAATAATTTGCATACTCCCGGTGGCTATACTTTACCTTTTAGGCATAACTGGGGTAAACTGCCAAATAGATACTCTCCAGAGATTGAAGAACAACGATCAAAGTATCAAATTGTCAACTACGTATCCACCACGAAGTTATCTAAATCGATAAGAGCTTTTGTACATGTTCTTTCCTCCAATCATGTTCCAACTAGAATTCAGGAGGCCTTATCAGACCCCAAATGGACTCGGGTGATAAAAGATGAGATGGAGGCTCTAGTAAAGAATAACACATGGACATTCGTTCCACTACCTGAAAGTAAAATGACAATAGGATGCAAGTGGGTGTTCTCTATCAAACATAAGGCAGATGGATCCATTGAACGGTACAAAGCAAGGTTACTCGCAAAAGATCATAAACGTATGGGGTAGACTACCAAGAGATTTTTCATCAATGGCTAAACTAAACACTGTGAGAGTACTATTGTCTCTCGCAGCCAATCTGGACTGGACACTACATCAACTTGATGTGAAGAACGCATTTCTCCATGACGACCTTGAAGAAGAAGCCTATATGGATATTCCTCCAGGGTATACAGGACCTTCATACAATGTTGTTTGTAAATTGCAGCCGCTTGAAGCAGTCGCCTCAAGCATGGTTTGTGCGGTTTAGTGTGGCAATGAAGAAATATGGTTCCAAGTAAAGTGACTCAGATCATACACTTTTTTTGAAGATAACAGAAGCAAAATAACTGAGTTAATAGTCTATATGGATAACATGATTATCACAGGAGACGATAAAGAAGAGATATCTAGAATTCAAAAACAACTGGCGTCTAAGTTCAAGATGAAGAACTTGGGAGGCCTCAAGTAATTCTTGGGAACTGAAGTGGCCAGATCAAAGCATGGCATATTTCTGTCCCAAAGAAAGTACGTGCTAGACTTACTAGCTGAGGTGGGGATGTTGGGATGCAAGCCAGTAGATTCTCCAATCATCCAGAATCATCGATTGAGTGGGCACTTAGATCAAGTGCCAACAGATAAAGGGAGATATCAAAAGTTAGTAGGCAAATTTATATACCTCTCACATACCCATCCAAATATTACTTATGTTGTAAGTGTAGTTAGCCAATTTATGAATAACCCCAGTAAAAATCACACGGATGCTGTGACCCGAATACTTCAGTATCTAAAGTCCTCACCAAGGAAGGGACTTATGTTCTCAAAGAATGATCACTTGAAAGTAAATGGATATACAGATGCGGATTGGGCCAGAAACATTTCAGACTAAAGGTCTACCTCAGGCTACTTCATGTTTGTTGGTGGAAATCTTATTACACGGAGAAGGAAAAAGAAAAAAATAGTATCGTTATCCAGTGTTGAAGCGGAATTTCGAAGAATGGCCAAAGGACTTCGTGAACTCCTCTAGGTCAAGAAACTACTCATTGAAGATGGTTTTGCTCCCACTACTGAGATGGATCTCTGCTAACAACAAAGCACCATCGCCATATCTCATGACCCAGTTCAACATGACATAACAAAACATGTGGAAGTAGATTGACGTTTCATTAAAGAGAATCTAGTAGCAAAGATAATCTGCTTTCCTTTTGTGAAGTCCAAAGATCAACTAGCTGACATTATCACAAAAACAGTCTCAAGCAAAGATTTTCACAACTCACTTGACAAGTTGGGTATCAGAAACCTGTATGCATCAACTTGAGGGGGAGTGTTGGAGTGAGCTGTAAAAACTATTTTTAGGAACCAAAATGATCTGTAATCATATCATTTCAAGGGAGTAGAATCAGTCAATTAGTTGTAGAATCAATCAATTAGCTAACAATCTGTATAATCCAAAATTAGGAGCATTCTCTTCCCCTATAGATCTGTACACTTCATATTGGAGAAATCATAGTGAAAAATACCTTACTTGACAAAAGTCTTCTTAATCTAGACATGGAAGATAGATAATGACGATTAAGTTAATGCATTAGTAGGATATATTAAGAGTTAGGGATTTATATTAATTATAAGAGCATGCCATTTAATGTATTTCGAACGCAACAATTGAGAATTTGAATAGTAAACCTATTACCAGGTGCTATCCTTCTCAGAGAACTTTTGTGTCTATTAGTTGATTTCATTTGTCGGTTCCCTAGCTTGTATGTTAGAGTCCTCCTAACAGAACTGTATTCCATCAGTATTTATTTGTGATAAACTATTTTAACTTTCCTTCAATCGTATCCAACCCAATATCATTAGTGAGCAACGTCAAGAAGAATTTTAATTCATAAACGAAGATCAAAATGCACTCGATTCAATAAAATATGAATAATATATGTTAACACAAGTGTAATAATCTAAGCTGATTTCAGAAAGTCAATCCCTCAACAACTAGTAAATTAAGATCCACTAACAAGTTAAAACTAGTTGTTTCTAAAATGAACAAACCATTGGTCAACTCAAGTCCTACTAACATAATTATCCAAAAGCAAGCAAAAGTGTGGAAGCATTTTCTAATGTGGTTTGTTCCATATAGTAAAAGATAGACGGACCTGTAGGAGATGTCCAAGACCAAACCTCTGAAACCAGCAAGCTCGTCCCTCTCAAAATCTGGGTCCTCCGAGAAGATTTCACCAAGAAACACATCTCTATCTCCGCCTGAATCAATTGATTCATCCGCATTCAATCGTTTGGATTTGTTCAAGGATGATGACGATTTTGAAGCATTCAATCTGGTTCTTGTAATACCACCCCATAAACCGAGCTCGCGCTTGTGACTTTGAGAAGGAACTGAAGAATGAGAGCAAGTAAATACAGTGCCTCCAAATGCCTTTTTAACTTGGTAAAATTGAAATTGAAATGGAAAAGGGTCATTGGAGCCATAGCCACTGAAGAGGGTCTTTAAGCGTCCCTGAGCTGTAAATTGTGCCATCACTGACACTGCCTTGGCTTCACAATTTTGGCGTTGATTGTTACGCAGTTAAAATTTCCTTCTTTCGGGCTCACGATAATATATATGTCGAATATAGATTTGAGGTAGAAGACAAGAGAAAGATGGAAGGTAAACAAGAAAGCTGTTTTTGCTTCTTCTTCTCTTCTTTTTGCTTCTTCTTCTTCTCCTCTTCTTGCTTCTTCTTCCCCTCCTCTTCTTCTTCTTCTTCTTCTTCGTTTTTGGCGTTATTTTTCCCTCTCTTTCTCCTGCTTCACGGAAAAAATCCACTGCCACATATTCGTATCAGTGCTGTTCTTAAAATCTTCTACGAAATGACATGATTACCCCGAGAATATCTTTTTTGTATCCATTTCGGTTCCTTCATCTCTAAACTACTTACCTTTGTAAGTAGCGGGGATGAACAAAAGTTTCGAACCCAATGATTTTTTTAAGTTAAATACTAGAACAAATATTTAAATCGATAATTATTAATTAATTAATTTAGTCCAAACTAAAAATATAATTTTTTTTATTTATAATTTTTAGTTCAAATTCAACTTAATCAAATTGACTTAAATTTTACCCAAATATCTTATTTTACCGTAATGCCATTTTTGTCTTTTTGGAGAAATTGAATTGAAAGCTCGAATGCACCTCTCTTCATTATTGTAAGTTCACTATCTCTCTTTTTCTGTAATTTTAACAGTGAAATCTATGAAAAGCTCAACAAGAGATGTGCAGAATATATCAAGGGATTGGATTGCATTATTCTATAAGAGGAAAAATTGAACGTGCCATTAGTTTAATTAATGTAGTATTGTTGTAAATATTCCAAAAATTATTTATTGTATGAAACTCGAGAACCAAATGGAATAGAATCGAACTGAACCGAATCCAAACCCGAACAGTTTTATAATTAAATTTGAATCTGATGATTCCGCTTTCTAAATATCCAAAAATTCGGGTTCCGAACCGAACTAAAACCATGTGCAACCCTATTTAACAATTAGATTCTAATAAGCTTCACTCTTGTTTGGATCCATTAAAATTTTAATATATTTTATTCTCTCTTCTTTTCGATCACATGTTTTCCAACAAAATAATATTGTACGTAAATCGAATTTTTTTCTTCTTTTTCAGTCACCAATTCTTTGAAAAATATTATTCCAAAAATTAAAATTTCAAATAATGGGCAGATCACAAAATTTGAGTATAAAAATGAATAGTGATTTTGAATGTAAAAATAAATAAATTACGATTGGAAAGTATTTTTTAAGTTATTAATAATGTTAGATCAAGGCAAACCTAAATTGTCTATTTCATTTTGGGGCCACTGAGTATCACATTTTATACTTCTTCCTTTTTGAGAAAAATAATAATAATAATAATAATAATAATGACTCTTTATATTAATGGTTTGTTTTGAAATCTAAATAGTTCGGTGGAGATAAAACATTAGTTTATGGGCAACAAAGTCACGGTCACATTACATCCTTGTTTGGGGTTCATTTTATTCAAAATTCTTTTTTTATCCTCTTTTTAACAATGCATTTTTTAATAAAATAATATTATACATAAATACAAAAAAAATTCCTTCTTTTTTAATCATACATTTTTCAAAAAATTCACTATTATAAAATACTTTTTTTCCAAAATGCATTTTAATGTAGCTCAGACAGGAGTTATGAAATGAATATTTCAATTTCATTAAATAATTTAATTGTGATCCCACTAACACATAAATGTATTTATCATCACTTTGACTAAACATCATTAATTTAAATATTAGTTATTCATTATCATATTTCAATAAATAAAAATACATTTCATTTCAACTTCATTGAACAAAAGTTTAGTGAGACCGACAACCCTTGTTGATCACGTTCGGGAATATAAGACCCATATGAATTTCGTGGGAGCAACTCTGGCACAAAGTGCCAAGCCTTCTATGTCAAACTTTTAAGAATGGGCCAACGGATGGTATACAAGCTCACGCCAAGCAGCATTTGTTGGAATTTGGCCTCACAATTCAATATATTTTCACATCTTGAACGCTTGGTTCATCCCCAAATGGAAGAATCTGATATAAGGCAAGGCCCTGATGAGCGTTTGCAAGCTGTCTTAGCCCCCATTTGATTCTCATTCTTATAAGAATGCGAATGAAAAATATAGTCGTTACGAGACCTATATATGATGAAGTTAAATATGGTGACTTGATATGATAGATAACAGTTATATTTTTTCATTTTTATGGTCAAAGAATGGGAGACAAATGAAGTCTTAGTTTTTCACTCAAGAAATGGTATAAATGGAATTGAAAGAATAACTGGTGTTAGATTTCTAATCGGAGTATCAGGGATAGATGTTTTGTAATCAACAAGGTCACAATATGGTGTGTTTAAAAACTTGTTTAAAATTTTAGGGTGATTATATTAATTAATGTCACATTTTTTCTTATAAATACACCACATTTTAATTACATTAAATGTTATTAACTTTTATTTATTATCACACTTATATTCTAAATTTTTTTTCTCTTCATCATATTTTTATTTTTAACATTTCATTAATCTAAAAGTCCTTTCTTTAATCATGATTATCGTTCAAAAATATAATTAGCATGCTTTAAATGAGGGTCAAATATTTAATTACATTTCGGCATTATAATTTGTTTTGCTTATTTAAAAATATAATGCGCCTTTTTACTCTATTTTAAACAAAATTTTGAAGAGAAATCATAATTAATAATAATTTATGTTAATTTAAGAATAATAATGTTATGAAAAAAATTGGATACATAGATGTGATAATGTGTAAAAATTATGAACCTTTCATACAATTAAAATATAGTCTACTTATTAAAAACTATTATTTAAGTATATTTAATCTCAATTTTATTATTATTTACTAAAATAGGCATACATAACATAAATAACCATTTATTATTTTTCTTCAATTCTTATTTAGACCACAAGTCTCCTAGCATTATTAGTTTTTCTTGTCTCTCTCCCTTTTTTCCTATTTTTCCTCTATATTGACTCAAGACTGAATTGCTTGAAATATAGGTATTTAATCAGCCAATCTTTTTGTCTATTTTACTTGAGAATAAGTTTTGCATATTTTGCTTGTCAATTTCGCATGGCGACGACTAATAGAGAAGCTCGTATTGCCTCCGTTTGACCCTCAATAAATTTCATTACATTACATTTTATTTTTGTCTCTTTTATTTTCAACCACATAATTTTTCATAAAATAATATTACACGTAAATCGAAAACTTTTCCTTCTTTTTCAACCATTCATTTTTTTAAAAAAAATACTATTCCTTTCATTTTCATTTTTAGAAAATGGGGCCAAACGGGGCTCATTATTCTTTTTTCCTTGAAAATATATTTCTATGGTGCTGATGCTTTGACTTTTCAGAATTTTTTACGTAACTATTTGTTGGAACGGGGATTTAATTGTGGTATATATACCTTTTTGTTTATGTCCCTCACATGCCATCATTTTTTTTTTTTTACATGATTATGAATGATCTTAAATATTCACATTTTTAATCGCGTCATTAATTTTTCATCTCGATGTTTAGTACTAGTTAACGAGAATGGATGGAACTACTGATGTCATGACTCGGTCTGAGATTTGAGAAATTGTTCCTAGTCAACTACAAGTTTTTTATTCTTATTTTGTACTATTTTACATATTACAATAATGAATTTTCTTCATGTTCGATTTGAAAAGGTCACTTTGAACAAAGTGTGGATTCACTTTAAAGTAATTAAAGAAACCTAATTATCAAAAATCTTTGATTATGAGATGCGGTCAGAATATAGGACTCATCTAACTAAAACGGTCAAAACTCGTCCCGTTATTTGAAAACATCATCACTAGTAAATTGAAGAAATGTTCTCCAAAAATATTAGCACCTCTCATGACAATCAATCATATATAGAAAGGTGTTAAATTTTACACTAGTTCCTTCTTTTTCACCAATCAGAAGAAAGTAATGATTATCTAAATTGTATGTGATGATGATCTATACCACAGACTAAATCTAGGTATTATAACTATCTAACCTGGTCGAAAATTCTCGACCAATGAAAGCCATTCAAGCATGTTGGTGGCACACAATTCGGGGACAATCACTGTAGCCTAACAAGACAAAGGATAGTAGTGAACTCCAAAGATTGTATAACGAAGCAAAGGCCCAACTAGAAGTGTTGAAATAAGCTCTCTTTGTATTATGCTTCAAAACTTCACTCAATAAAATCTCTCTTTCTTATATTATATTCATGCTATAAACACAGTTAGTCCACTAATTATATATTAAGTTGATTTATAATTGCCACGTTAGGTTTAGTAATCAACAATTTGATGTTAGAAGGAAGATCATTCTATAGTTAGAACAACCTACATTTTTTAGTCTCTAAAAACAACCAAAATCAGCTTGTCCCACAAAATGAGATGCTAACTAGATCTAAAAGTCACTCTCACACAAACTAAGGTAAAACCAAATTGCCACCATCCAAGTGGTAAAAACTAACGTAGAATCTCCTATTTGATGCAGGATCATACAACTGCCCATTCAAAAAAAACTTTTGATATTTGGAAGAAGAGTCCTATAAAAGTAGGATAGGTAACGTAAATAATACGCCACCTCAAGAAGAACCACCAAAGGGATGGAAGTATCTTTGATAGATTAGGGTCGCTGAACTCCCCCATTCGAAGAGATGGCCAACCTAATCTAATTCATAACATGCGCTACTTAAGGGCAAGAGGAAGACACGAGCTAAATTGGCTCAAAAGAGCATAGCCGACTTAGAAGCCAAGCCAAAAGGGATAATGCAAGAACCCCTACCAGAAAGTTGAAAATACTACAACTTATAGGATATGATAGGGAGATTGACCCCATCAATATTCTCTACAAATACACGTCATGGATGATGATGTGCGAAGCTTTCTTCCTTACCCTTGGTGACAAAGCTCAAAAGATAGTGTAGAAAGTTGTCCCAGAGGCTAGTCAAAAAATTGGAACAACCTGTAAATGCTATCTTAGCCCTAATTTATTGGCTCCAGAGCCTGTACTACACTAAATGAGCATTTGGTGAGCATCAACAAGGATGGAGAGAGTCCTTGAAGAGCTATTTTAACATGTTGAATAAATAAATCATAGAAGTTGAAAAAACCTCTAATGTATCATTAATGGTAGTCAGATTGAGACCGAAGACAAGATTCTATTGGTCTTTCCTGAATTTCCATCAAGAAAGACCAAAAACTTATCACATGTTCTTAATC